TTGTTTTGTTTTGTTTTGTTTTGTTTTGTTTTGTTTTGTTTTGTTTTAAAGAAATAGGGGGCGCCTGGGTGGCTCAGCCATTAAGCATCTGCCTTCCGCTCAGGTCATGATCCCAGGGTCCTGGGGTCGAGCCCTGCATCGGACTCCCTGCTCGGCGGGAAGCCTACTTCTCTCTCTACCACTCCCCCTGCTTGTGTTCCCTCTCTCGCTGTCTCTCTCTCCATCAAATAAATAAATAAAATCTTAAAAAAAGAAATAGGTTAGCTGATTCTAAAACCCAAGTGGAAATGCAAACTGCCTAGAACGGCAAAAACAATCTTGAAAAGGAACAAAGCTGGAGGAATGAAACTATTTTATTTCAGGACTGACCATAAAGCTACAGTAGTAAAGAGAGTGTGGTAGAGACAAGTAGGTCGATGAAATGAACTAGAAATTTCAGAAATATACATATATGGTTAACTGTTTATTTATTTATTTTTTTAACCAAGTTCCCAGGTCAATACAACATGGGAGGGAAAGTCTCTTTAACAAATATTGCTGCAACAACTGTATATCCGTACAGAATAAATGAACCTCAACCTCAACTCACTTTACACAAAAATTAATTTGATCATAGTGCTAAATGCAAAACTCACAACCATAAAGTTTGTATATAAGGCCACAAGGCACTATCTCTGTGACCCTCTGGTAAAAAAGATTTTTTGGACAGAACACAGAAAGCAATAATCATAGGGGAAAAAATGGATAAATTAGACTGCATGAAAGTTAAAATTTTCTGGTATCAAAAAAATATTAAGAAAACAAATAGATAAGCCAGAGAATGGGGACATATATCACAGCACATAAGAAGACAAACAACTCATGGGCTCCTGGGTGGCTCAGTCGTTAAGCGTCTGCCTTCAGCTCAGGTCATGATCCCAGGGTCCTGGGATCAAGCCCCGCATGGGCTCCCTGCTCCGCGGGAAGCCTGCTTCTCCCTCTCCCTTTTCCCCGGCTTGTGTTCCCTCTCTTGCTGTGTCTCTGTCAAATAAATAAATAAAATCTTTAAAAAAAAAAAAAGGGAAGATAAACAACTCAATAAGAAAAGTGGCAGAAGATTTGAATAGACACTTCACAAAAGAAGATACAAAAATGAATCAATGAGCACATCAAAATTGTTCAACATCACTAGTCTCAGTTATTACACCTAAGGAAAAAGAAAAAATAGATAATTTGGACTTTGTCAAGATTAAGAACTTTTGTGCTTCGGAGGATATTATCACGTAAAAGAAAAGACAGCCCACGGAATGGGAGAAAATGTTTGCCTATCATACCTGGTAAGGGACTTCTGCGTAGAACATACAAAGAACTCTTGCAACTCCATAATAAAAAGACAAATGACCCAAGTAAAAATTGAATAGACACTTCTCCAATGAAGACTCACAAATGGTCTATAAGCACAGGAACAGATGCTCAATCTCATTATCCTCATCAGGGAAATGCAAGTCAAAGCCATCATGAGATACTTTATACTTAGGGTGTCTTCTTTAAAAAGACAGTACAAGTGTTGGCAAAGATGTGGGGAAACTGGAATCCTCATACACTGCTGGTAAGATTGTGAAATGATACAGCCACTCTTCTTTTTTATGTATTATTTGTTTCAGGGTACAGGTTTGTGATTCATCAGTCTTACACAATACACAGCACTCACCATAGCACATACCGTCCCCAGTGTCCATCACCCAGCCAGCCCATCCCTCCCACCCTCCTCCACTCCAGCAACCCTCAGTTTGTTTCCTGAGATTAAGAGTCTCTTATGGTTTGTCTCCCTCCCTGGTTCCATCTTGGTTCAGTTTCTCTTCTCTTCCCCTATGATCCTCTGCCTTGTTTCTCAAATTCCACATATGAGTGAGATAACACGATAATTGTCTTTCTCTGATTGACTTATTTTGCTTAGCATAATCAATACCCTCTAGTTCCATCCACGTCGTTGCAAATGGCAGGATTGCATTTTTGGTGGCTGCATAATATTCCATTGTATATATCTATACACCACATCCTTAGCCATTCATCTGTCGATGGACATCTGGGCTCTTTCCCTAGTTTGGCTATTCTGGACCATTGCTGCTATAAACGTTAGGGTGCAGGTGCCCCTTCGGCTCACTACATTTGTATCTTTGGGGTAAATAGCCGGTAGTGCAATGGTGGTACAGTCACTCTTGAAAACATTTTGGCAGCTCCTCAAAGGCTAAACCTGGAGTCACTATCTGATCCAGCAGTTCCACTCAGGTATATACCCAAGAGAAATGAAAACATATGTCTCCACAGAAACTTGTACACAAATATTCATCCAGCAGTATTCATAATAAAAAAAGTGGAGACAACACAAATGTCCATCGAATGAGTAATGGATAAATAAGATGTGGTATGTTTTTACAAATGACTCTTATTCAGCAATAATAATAATGATGATGAAGTGCTGGTACAAGCCACAATGTACATGAACCTCAAAAATACAATGCTAAGTGAGAGAAACCTATCACAAAAGACCACACACTTTCTTATCCCATTTACAGGAAATGTCCGGGATGGGGAAATCTATAAAAATGGAGTAGATTAAGGGTGGCCTAAGGCTTGGAGGGAGTTAGGAGGGAGATTGAAGAAGGGGGTTGAAGGCTAAGGAGTACATTACCCTTCCTGGGGTAATGAAAGTGTTCTGAAAGTGATGGTGCTGATGGATGCACCACATTGTGACTATAGTTAAAGCCACCAGTTGTACAACTTACGTGGGTAAACGGGAGGGTATGTAAATTATATCTCAATAAGAGTATGTCTGAAAAAAAGCTACAGTGAGTAACGCTGCATACTCACTGGAATGAGTGAATTTAAAAGACTGAGAACAGTAAATGGTGGTGAGCACGTGAAAGAACTAAAACGCTCATCCATTGCTGGTGGAAGCATGAGATGTCACAACCACTTGGGAAAATAGGTTGGCAACTTTTTTGTAATGTTGAACATTCGTCTATCCTGAGAATCATTAATTCCACTCCTAGGAATTTCCTCAAGTGAAATGAAAACCCACGTCCACAAGAAGACTTGTACAAGAAAATCCATTGCAGCTTCATTCCTTATTGCCCCAAAGGGGAAACATCCCCAAAGCTTGCCCATAGGAAACCAGATAAGCAACTGATGGGCTATTCATCAAGCACAGACACTCCGAATGGAAGAGAATGGACAGCAGAGACATGCAACAACATGGATGAGTCTCAAAAACATGCACAGCAAAGAAGCTAGCCGCTGAAAGGGCATAATGGCTCGTTCCCTTTGTATGAAATCTGGTGGCAGGAAAAACTAATCTCCAGGGAGAGAAGTCAGAATGTGGTTGCTCAGGATAAGGGGCCTTGATCTGGAAATGGGCCAGAGGGAAGACTTTGGTCATAGACACATTCCATATCCTGCTTTGGGTGGCAGTTATCTGAATAGATACAATTGTTCAAGATCATCAAACTGAACGCCTATGAGGTGCACGTTTCAGTGTATGGTGAATTTACCTCAACCCGGCTAGGAAGGGTTGGGAACCAGAGTATGTAGCCAGGAAAGGGAGTCCTAGAAGTTGCTTGCTTCATCCATTCATTCAAAATACAATACATATCTATCGAGCCCCTACTAAACAGGCAGGCACTGTTCTGGAAGCTGGTATCCCTGGTGAGTTAGCTCCATGTTCTTGCCCTCATGGAGCCTACATTCCAGTGGGAGAGATAATTAACAAAATAAACACAGAAGCTCAGGTGCAGGGGGGAAAAGGATAAGGGGATTTCAAGTAATAGTTCTACTAAAAGCAGGAACTTTGCAGATTCTGGGCATCACCTTTGCTCAACAGGAACCCAAAGGTCCCTCCCCCCCTCCCTCCCTCCCTCCCTCCCCCCCTCCCTCCCTCCCTCCGTTCCTTCCTTCCTTCCTTCCTTCCTTCTTTCCTTCCTTCCTTCCTCCCTTCCTTCCTTCCTTCCTCCCTTCCCCCCTCCCTCCCTTCCTTCCTGTTGCTCTCCTCTTGCCCTATAAGCCTGGTGCTTCAGTGTGTGGGTCTTATAAGTTTCCTAGCTGAGTTGCTGCTAGCCTATGACTTTTCTGGCTCCCCTCTGAGGAACAAATATTGTAATCAAGACTTGCCCTCACGGATGTGCTCAGAGCCTGGCCCAGAACGGGCAGAACCTCCTGGCCCAGAACGGGCAGAACCTCCATCAGGTGATGTTGATTTGTAGATTGCACACAGTTGCAGGGGACAGCTTGAGGGCAGAGCTCACCAGAGCAGCCCGCGTCTCTCCACCTGACCTCCCAAACTTCCTGGCCTCTATCAGGGATAGCGATCTTTCTGAGGAATCCTGTGCCCTAACTCTGACTTGCTTTGGCTTCCCATCAGAGTCCTGGCAGCTGAACGACACCCACCAATTGCACTGCTACATCTACTTGATCTTTGTCTTGTAGGGACGCCTGATGGAAGGGTGGGCAGTCAGAGGACTCTTCTGAGAGGGCACTGCTGAGAGGGCAAAGATGATTGTCCTGTCAAAATTCCTCTCCCTGACAAAGGAAGGACGTGACCCCAGGCAGGTCACTGTCAGAGGAGATGAGAGAGACTGCTCTGTCTCCTGAATGGGTGGGCACTTCTCAGTGGCATCGCCTCCCTTTCATGACCTCATGGCCCCAAGCGTGGCTTTGGGCTTCACGGTGGAAGTGGCCCAGTGAGGCGGGGGGGAGACTTCCCTGGGAAGCCATGATCTCCCTTGAAGGGGAGCCTTCCAGGCCTGGGGAGGGGGGGTGCCCCCTCCCAGAGCTTCCCTGGGCTTTGAAGAAGCAGCCTTGCTGCTTCTCCCCGTCTCACCTCCATGGCTGTGAGTCACTCTTTGCTGCAAAATCAGCTGCCAGGTCTGTCAAGGCAGTCCCTCTGGTGACTCTGACATGGCCTAGCCAAGGGTTCTGAAATGTCTGGGTACACACTGTGTGCTGGTCCCTGCTTCCTGGACTCACGTGGAAGACCCCAAGTCTTGGGCATCATGGTACCGATGCTGCGTGGCATTGTGGCCATCAAAACCACACCCTTTGTAGGTTTCAGTTTCTTTCCCTAGGCCACTGTTAGGCAAGGGGGTGACACTGTAGTCATAAGCTGCCCCTTGGGAGGAGGGAAACTAGGAAGATTCCAGGGCCTGTTTCTTTCTTCCAACTCTGCTCCCACGTTTGTTCTTTCAATGCTTTGTCACTCAGTTTCTCTTCTGTGAAATGGGGGCAGGCCGACTTGGATCATCATGTGCTTCCCTCCCCAGGGTCAATCTCCCAGGTGTTTGGGGACAGGATTAGGGCCCCTGTGAATGGCTTTCTGCACATGAATGACCTTCATCCCAGGACATCTTGTGATTCTTATTAATGCTGCTTCATGACATGGACGGGCCCCAGCCTTGGGGACAGTTTGGCCTCCCTGTTCTCTTCTTGACCCATTCAGGGAGAGGGAGCTCGGGGACACATCCATGGATGTATGGCGCATTAGGTTGCAGAAAGGAAGAGCAAGATGGAGCTGCAGCTCAGTGATGGGGTCCGGTCCTTGTGGAAAGCCTACCTTGTGGGTCTGTGAGCGTCCCCAGCCAGATGTCAAATGGGGGTGGGGGGCTGAGCGGAGGAATGCTCACAGATCTTCATGCAACTTGGACAGCCCACTTGACGTTCCCTTCCTTTTGCCCTTCCGGGCTCCCTGCAAAGAGAGGCCAGCAACATCCATAAGGCTCTGAGCCTGGGGAGGGAAGGCCCCAGGATCACTGGCTGGGAGCCCCAGAGGCATTCAGGCAACTCACCCCTGGCCCCTGGCCCAGCGCCCTCTAGCTCTGTCCTTCCTACCTTCTCTTTCCTCACACTCTGACACTTTAAAACACAGATCTAAGTCAACTCTGGGTGTATATAAGTAAAGGTGATACATTCCCTTGACCTAAGTCCCTACCCCATGAGTCAGAGAGACCAGGCCCATCTCCTCCCCCATGACCTATAGGTGTTGGACACGAGCCTTCTCCCAGCTGCTTCGGCTCAGCCCTTCTAGGTCCTGAGATTAAAGTGTCAGCTTGCTCAAATAAACAAGCACACCGAGACCGGTTGTGATCCGACCAGCCCCCTGTATTTGTCCATCCACACTGCCCATGGCATCGTGGCAGCAGGGCAAGAGGCTAGCACTGTACACAATGTCCCTGCAACTCTGACCTCAGGCTTTCCCATGCGATACAGTCAATGTGGAGAAGGGAGGGAAGCCAGCTCCTGCATCTGGCCCGGCGTTTGCCCCAGACAGTTCTCTGTGTGGAGAGATGGGGGAAGGACCCTCTTGGGCTTTGGAATCTTCCCTGTCCCTTGGCCCAAGCTGAGTCACAGGCAGCAGACAACCCAGAGAGCTAGGGTGAGTGGACTCCCCTCTTCCTTCCCAGAGGAGAGGGGCCCAGGCTGGTCTGCCCTTCTCGACCCTGTCCTGGCACCACTGGCTTCTGGAGGTGCTTGACTGAAGTAAGAGATGGGGCCCCCACACCTCCATGACTATGTTGGTTCTTACCTTCATTGAACGTTTATGGAACATCACATGGTCGTAGGCATGGTGCTAAGTGCTGAGGTCATAAGGAGCTCCTGACCTTGGGCAATCACCATAGAGGAGGAGATCCTTATGACTGGATGATGGAGCTTAGCACACAGTGAGAAGAGGTCCACAGCAGACCAGGTTGGGAGAAGCAGGGAAGACTTTCTGGAGGAGATGGTGGTG